CCGTACTGGGTCAGACCAAAGGTCCATCTAGCCCAGTAGCCTGTCTGCCGACAGCGGCCAACCCTAGGGACCCTGGAGGGGATGGACCGAAGACAGTGACCAAGCCATTTGTCTCGTGCCATCCCTCTCCAGCCTTCCACAAACTTTGGGCAGGGACACCACTCCTACCCCCTGGCTAATACCACTCCATGGACCCAACCTCCGTGCCTTGATCTCACTTCCCTTTAAACTCTGTTCTAGTTGTAGCCTTCACAGCCTCCTGCAGCAAGGAGTTCCACAGGTTGACTCTTTGCTTTGTGAAGAAGAACTTTCTGTTACTAGTTTGAAGCCTGCTACCCATTCCTTTCCTTTGGTGTCCTCTAGTCCTTCTATTATGGGAACTAATGGAGAACTTTTCTTTATGCACCCTCTGCACGCCACTCTTGCTTTTATAGACCTCTATCATATCCCCCCTAAGTCTCCTCTTTTCTAAGCTGAAAAGTCCCAGTCTCTTTAGCTTCTCATCATATGGGACCTGTTCAGAAACCTCTGATGATTGTAGTTGCCCTCCCCTCTCCCACCCTCTCTCTTCCCCTCTCCCACCTCCTTTTCCCAGTCTCCCCCAGTTTTGTTCAATAAAGAAAGATTCTATTTTTGAACACGTTTTCTTTATTTTGTACATCAGGAAGGGGTGCTAGGGAAGGGTAAGTGGAAGGAGGTGAGGAAGGAATGGGGTACGTTCCCCCGATGGGGAGGACTGGGCTGGCTCTGCGGGCTTCTCGGGGTGGAAGCTCTCCTGCAGCCCCCCGATTGTCCCCTCCCCCCGGATGGCAGCCTGTGGCAAGTGCAGCCGGGGTGATGGCCAAGTGCTGTGATATTCCGCGTGTGGGCACTCAGGGCACTCCAAGCCAGGACTGCTTTGCAAGCAGGGAACCCTGAGAACTGTCTATCCGGGGTGGGGGTCGGGTCCCTTTAAGCACAGCCCTCGGCTAGCCTGAGACAGCAGCTCCACGCTCTAAGTCCTCATCTGATGCCCTGCCGGCACTGCTTCCGGCCATCCTTAACCTCTGTTCAGGGTCCACTCTGTGGACATGCTAGTTCGAATTAGCAAAACGCTAATTCGAACTAGTTTTTAAGTTTAGCTGCGCTAATTCGAATTAGCTTAGTTCGAATTAACTAATTCGAACTAAGTTAGTTCGAATTAGCGCTGTAGTGTAGACATATCCTTGCTGTTTTGTCGCCTAAAGGCAGTTTTTGGCAATAAAACTATGTAGTGTAAACAAAGCCGTAATTAATTGATTGGAAAATCACATCTTAAGGTAACTCACATGTAGCTGTGTGTGCCACCTGGGCCTCACTCTCCTTGGGGAGGGCCACCTTGGTATGAGGTGACCAGATGTTCTGATTTTATAGGAACAGTCCCGATATTTGTGGATTTTTCCTATATAGTCACCTATTACTTCCCACTACTTGTTCCCATTTGTCACACTTTCGATTTGAGCACTGTACCTTGCTGTAGCTGTCGGGTGGCAGGGGCCATGGTGTGAGCAGCAGGAGCACAGCTCTGAGCAGTGGGCCCCAAAGCCATCCCTGGAGGGCGACAGGACTATACCCTCAGTCGGCCAAAGCACAAGGGTGCCAAGTCACCAGCACAGGGCCTTCCAGAGGACAACGAGGGGCGGGGAGGGGGGTGTCACTCTGGGGTGGCCCTGCAGCCCTTGCAGCTGCACTGACATGACACTTCCTCCTCCTATTCTGCCAGGTCGCAGTGCCGCTCGCTCAGCGCTGGGGCACTGCGGGGCAGAGGGAGGCGGGAGGATGGAAACAAGGCTGCTCTCGGGAACCGCTCCTGCACCAGGGGCTCCCCGCGGGCCTGCCCCGTCTCGCGCCGCTCCCCAGGCCTCCCGCAGCTCTCGCCCACCACCGGGGCGGCGCTGCGGGCCAGGCAGCTGGGAG